GATTAGCTGTAAGATTGCCTCTAGATGTCCTCGCTGACGCGCCTCCACGGTTTAGGGCAGGTTGATCTCTCCTGTCCCACAGGAGAGTTCTCAAACACGAGCATTACCTGCTTAAGATGTTTAACTCTGAAGATTCATCAAAGGAGTTTCATGGCTCAAAAATTTTGACAAGGCCAGTTTCATGGTACATACGGTGGGCAAAGTAGCACTAATTAGACCCCCTTCCCTCTTGTTGATGCATTCAGCAGGAGGGCTAACTATATGCCAGGCCCTCAGCAGTTGTGAGCAGAAACAGACACGGACCTGTCCTCTCACAGCCTACAAGTCCCTTCCACCTACCGCCAAGCTGTAGCCAAGCTGGTGGCCTTTGGGGGATTATTTTTCTATAGGTGACTTTTTTTCCTTCCTCTTTTCTGTGTATTCTAATTTCCCACTCTGATGAACATGTATTATTTGAAATAATATGAAATATTATGACTGTGAATGACGAATATGAAATAGTATGAAATAAAACACCTTATTTTTAACAAACGTTACCTTTTACCTGCTAATTTATGTCTTAAATTTCTTCTTAAGGCTTTAGTCTCAAGAATTGAGAAGGGTTACACTTTACACAGTGTATCATTTCGGATCTAATCAGGAGACAGAAACCATGCAGTAATTTAAACAGAGGGTATTAAACTATGAAAGGAGAGTAAATGTAAAGATATAAAGAGAACTCTCAAGGGTTCCCTAAGGCTGAGGGAGAGTAATCAATGGAGGACAACTGGGAAGGGGGTGCCCCCTCCTCAAGGCTGGGGTTCAGACCTCATTGGAGAAGGCATGATGGCAGCCCACTGGGTGGTAGAGAAGATTGGGGCAGAGCTGCTCCACAACTGCCAGGCCAGCAGGAAAGAATCTTCAAGGGAACAGGTGAACTGAGGCTGGTGAGAGGGAGTCAGAGTGTCCTTGCTGGCACAAGGCTGAGAGCACGCATGTGGTGTCCATCTCAGGAAGGTGTGGGAAAGTGCCCATCAGGCCTGAGCCAAGGCTGCAAGATCCTCAAGGGAGCAGAGAGCCACAGGATGTTCCCAGATGCCTGCACCCTTCATTAAGCATCAGGAAAAAGAAAAAGCAAAAACACAGCACAGGAACCAGGAAGAGTGGCCCCTTTCTCCGGCAACGTCCCTCCAGCTCCCCCTACTGGCAAACCTTAACATTGTGCTCACTGTCAAGTAGAAAATGCTTGCAGTCTCTTATCCCAGCGCAAGTACTAAAGGGTGAATTTGGAGGTGCAAGGCAATAAACTGATAACTGGCACAAACTGTTATCAGTCATGAGAACAGGGGCTGAGAAGCTTTTTTCGTAAAGAGCACGATAGTAAGTATTTTAAGCTTTGTGAGTCACACAATCTCAGTCAAAATGATTCAATTCTGCTGTTGTTGCACAAAAAGCAGGATAGACAATATGTAAACACATCAGCATGGGTGTGTTCCAGTAAAACAGCATTTGCAAAAACAGCCAGTGGATTTTGCCCACAGACCATAGTTTGCCAACTCTTGATTTAGAACTTTAGCGTGAATAATCTCTGTTCTCTGAAGAGGATTACATTGAGAAGAAGGGAGTGAGCGCAAGTGTGCAGAGCTGAGGTGGGAGATGGGGCAAGAAGAAGGAATCCAAATGAAGACAATAGTGTCTACATGGTGTTTTTTTCCAAATTAAGTGAGTGCTTCAGACTGAATGTCCCCCCACAAATTCATATGTTGAAACCCTGACTCCCAATGTGATGGTGTTTAGTGAAGAGGCCTTTGGGAGGTGATTAGGTCATGAGGATGGAGCCCTCGTGATGGGATTAGTGTCCTCAGAAGAAGAGACAGGAGAGATTGCTCAGCCACGTGAGGATACAAGAAGATGGCCGTCTGCAAACCAGGAAGGGGGTCCTCACCAGACACCAGACCTGCCAGCACCTTGCTCTTGGACTTCCCAGGCTCCAGAACTGTGAGAAATAAATACTTGTTGTTTAAGCCTCCCATTCTATGGTAATTCATTATAGCGGCCCAAACTGACTAAGACAGTGAGCCATTATATTAAAGGATCTAGGGGCTGGCCCAGTGGTGCAGTGGTTAAGTTTGCATGTTCCGCTTCTCGGTGGCCTGGGGTTCACCGGTTCAGGTCCCGGGTGAGGACGTGGCACTGCTTGTCAAAAGCCATGCTGTGGTAGGCGTCCCACATATAAAGTACAGGAAGATGGGCACGGATGTTAGCTAAAGGCCAGTCTTCCTCAGCAAAAAGAGGAGGATTGGGAATAGTTAGCTCAGGGCTAATCTTCCTCAAAAAATAAAAAAAGGATCTAACAGGGTATTTAATAAATTATTATTATCTCTAAGGGTCTGTACAAGGCAAAGTAACCATCCATATTGTGCCTTCTTCTTTTGAGGAAGTTGAGGCTCAGAGGGGCTAAGAAATTTGCCTCAAATGACACAGCCTGGCTGAGCTGGAGTTGGAACGATTAGTCTGTCTGACTCTTAGGCCCACATTCCTCACCACATGTCCACTACCCCACTCCAAAGGGGCGGGTGGGTGTTCCCAAACTGGGTGCTTTCTTGACTGGGCACAACAGTAACATTGGGTTTAACACCCTTGATCTTTGGCAAGCTGAGACTCCCAACCTGAGGAAATCAGCACTTAACCTGTGAAACTCATCTCTTGAAATGTCCAGAGCACTTACAGATGAGAGTTGGGACAAGGGCACTCCATTGATTGCCAAGTCAGTTCTGCTGGACTGGCTGGCTAGGTCAGTTTCCTATTTCAGGGCCCCTCCCATGCCCTCTCCTTCCACAACCTTTCCAGATAAAGAATCATTCCTTAATCAAGGGTGGAACATTTGTTGGGCTTCTCCTTAAAAACTTGCAGAAACTACAATGTTTCATTACTGATTCTGACCAGGCCTATAAGCTGAGGTTTATCAAAATGAATGGGAGCTGTTTTCTCACTGCTTATTGACAATGCACTGGTCTAGGTACTTTGCATATTGTCTTTCCAGTTCTGACCACAACCCTGGAAGGTAGCTATTATTCTCCCTATTTAAGACAAAGGTGACATTTACATAGCAGATACTATTAATCTTTGAGGTAGGCAATTTAATGGGGTTCTATGTAAAGAGGAGAAAACCAAGGTTTGGAGAGGTTAGCCTGTCCACTCCACTTATCTCCATCTGAATCCACATCTCTCCAGATGCCAAACTCCAAGCTCCAGATTCCAGTGTGGTGTGGAAATCCAATGCATGGGATGCACTTCAGGATCAGACAGAGCCAGCCCCGCTTCTCACTAGCCATCTGACCAGTTGCTCCTTTTCTCTATTGACAGCAATGCTCCACGGCACTTCTACATGTCTTCTAAAGGCTTTTATTCTGGACTGTTTTTCAAGGAACATCCTTGGAAGATAATCTCCCTCCAGGTCAGAGGGAAGATTTGTTTTTTGTTCAGGATAATAAAGACAATGCCACCCTCTGGGGCAAAGGTTGAGCAGGTTTCCTAGCAGCCCCTTTTATAAGATTAGGGTTCACTAAGTTCGGGGTTGCTCAGTTGTGACACAAACCCCTTATATGTGCAGTATCTACCTGGGCTCACCTCTCCATTGCCCTGCAGGACGTGAGGAGGAAGAGGAGCCCACAAAAACGTGAACCTCATGCTGCCTGCTGCAACAAGAGTAACAAAGTCCTTTATTTCTGGCCCAGGAGTCTCGTGTCTTCTGCCAGCATCTGTGAAACTGTGGCAGACTAACCTGTTAGCATGTATGTAGGATAAAACCTCAAACCCTTCACAGTCTTCAACACTCATCCAAATGTCAAATGAGTCAGCAACTCTCACATTTCTCACTCCTATCGCACCTCAGCCTCCTGCGGTTTGGCATCTGGCTGATGTCACCAAAGACCCTCTCACTGCCAGTTTCAGTGGGTATTTGATTTGATATTATTGATGTGGAAGCACAGCTGCTGTGTATCAGGAGGTCGTTTTTTCCCCCAAACATTTATTTGAATTATGAAATGATAGATTTGGAAAAGATTCTAAAACAAATAAAACAAGAATCACTTAAAGAAAAAGAAGGTGAAATCTTTCTGGACCTCTGTGGCCACACAGTGGGGGCATACCCTCTTTCTGAAGCGCTCTACCCTTAGCTTCCAGAAGACCACGCTTTCCTGCCTGTCCTTATCGGTCCCCTTCATGGACTCCTTATCCCTTAGCAGCCCCATCACTGCCCTGCCTGCCCAGCTCATGGCTCCACCTGCCCTCCCTGGGTGATTTCACTCACACCATTGGTTTTAGGAAGCTTGCCTATGGTGATGATGCCCTAAACTCCAGCTCCAGTTCCGACTTCTAACTTTACCAGCCACCTGCTGAGCAGCTCCACCTCAAACTCAGGTGGTCCAAAAAGGAGCCCATCCTTCCCTGGCCCTCCACACCGCCTAATCCTCCCTCTTGGATCCACACGCTCAGTTTGTGGTACACCCAGCCACCCCACTGCTCCAGGAAGTCATCCTTCACCTTTCCCTGTCCCTCACACCCCAGAGCCAAGCCATCTCTGAGTATTGCTTCTTTTACTCCCCACTTCAGGAATCTGTACACCCCTACCTACCACCAGGTCCCCTCTTCCTACTGTTATTCCCTCTCAGGTCCGAGTCCTTTCTGCCTTGGGTAACTGCAGTGTCCAGCTAACTCAGCTTCCTGCCTCCTCTTGGCCACCCTAAAGCCCTCACCCCATTGTTGCCCGAGTTAGAGTCCTAAAATACAAACCAAATCGCATCATTTCCCTGTTTTGAGCCTTTCACTTGCTCTTCAGTCCGTATCTGACAATCTCAAGGTCATTAACAACATTGTTCACCATGCTCTCTAATATTATGTCTCTCCACCCTCCCACAACCTCCCTCAAGTACTTCTCCCATCTGTCTGCTGTGCCCACTACCACTCAAGAGGGAAAAAAGGTGGGGAGGCGGTGTCTCAAAATAACACTCATTGAATGGCACTCACTGGCTTTAATTTGTGTTATCTGGAACCAGGAAGTCCTAAAATGTTGCATTACACACTAGTCACACATCTTCTGCCTGCCTCAAACCCATCTAAATGTTCTTAGTTTTTCCTCAAAAATAAAATCATAGTTTGGATCAGGAGCCATATTTTTACCCAATTATTCACTGTCAAATTTATTTGCTTCTCTGGGTCCCCTTGAGAAACAAGCCAACTTATTCCTTCATTCTACCCAGTTAAAGTCCTGAAAGAATAGGTGAATACACATCTTTTTTTTTTTTTTGAGCTCGTCGTTAAGTAAACTAGCTAACACCCTTGAGCGTCCACCAGGAGGCGCCCGGGGCGTCGAAAGACCTGCGGTGGAGAGGCGGCGATGGATGCAGCAGCGATGGAACCCGGCATCCTTTTTTAAGAATCAGCGTGAGGGAAGGGAGCAGAGCTGCGTTATTTTAGGGAGACCTTGTCGCACTCCCCCTCTCGCGTGTAGGTAGCGTCTAGGGTGTGTGCGGGCCCCATGGAGAGACGCTGGCGGTGGCTGCGGTGGCAGCTGGGGCTCCTATCGCAGCTGCAGCCGGCAGTAACCCGACCCCGCCAGCGCAGGGACTGAAGAGGCGCAAGAGACAGCGGCGAGCTGCGAACAAAAGCCCTCGGCGCGGAGCCCGAGCCTGGGACCCGCGGTAAGTGAACTGCCCAGGGGACCCGGGAGCTCCCGGGCTAGCTGAGCCCTAGAAGCCCCCCTCGCTGGAATACGGTGGGGGGACTCGGAGGGCATCTGCGGGCAGGTGTCCGAGTCTAGACCGGGGTGGTTGGTGCCTTTAGCACATTCAGACTTGGAGGGGATCGGGTGAATCTGGGAGGACACAGGCGCCTTCTCTGTCCCAGCAAACACCCAGTGGGGGGCAGGGGGAAAGGCGGGCACAGCTCCTAGCAAGCCCTGCCCAAGAGGCAGGAGCAAGAATCGATCACCCCTCCCTGAGAGGTCTTTTGGGATTAAGGCATTTCTCTCAGCCTTTCCATTGCCCGTGGCCCCCGCGCCTGGGGCTCCTTTAGCAGGGAGAAATCAACGACAAACTTCTTCCCTAGGCGAATGGGGTCCCTGCAGCAATGCACTTTGGGGATGAAGAGGCCTCTTCCTTTTTTGTTCCTGCAAAGCTGCATCCCCGGTCGCCCGCCTAAGCTACAAACAAATACGCTAATCCTCCCGGGAATCCTCCAGCGCCTCCCTGGTCGGCTACTGCCTACACCTCGATCTTTTCATCTTAACTCCAGCGGGCAGGAGATGCATCTAGCGGGACAGGCGCCAGGGCAGCTGGCCGCAGGCCTCCACCCCGCACTCCGGGGCTCGGGAAGATTGAGGCTGCTCTCTGTGCACCAGTCCACCCCCCCCCCCCCCCCCCCCCCCTGGGTTTTCAGGGCATCGGTATTAAGATTTACGTTCCACCGGGCCTCTGAGCCTAATCCCAAAGCGGATTAAGTTGGGAGGGGGGTGAATATGAATGGGGAGAGGGGAACTGTTCTGAAATGTATTCTTCGATGTCTCTCCCTTGTCATCCGCAGAGACTCCACAAAAGGACAGGGCCCAGCCATGGTGGACCCCGTGCCTGAAGAGGAGAAGGCGGGAGCTGAGCCCGGAGGCTCGGGTGGGGACGGAGCCGGCGCGTCTGTGCCCCCTGACGCCCAAGGCGCCCAGCAGCCTGCGGCCTCTTCGGCCTCGGCCTCGGCCTCTGCGGCGGTGCCCCGCAAGGGTGAAGTCCCGTGCGCAGCAGAAGGCGGGCGGCGGGAGCAGTCCCCGCTGCTACACCTCGATCTCTTCAACTTCGACTGTCCGGAGGCCGAGGGCAGTCGCTACGTGCTGACCAGCCCCCGCTCGCTAGAGGCCTGCGCCCGCTGCGCGGTCAAGCCGGTGGAGCTGCTGCCACGGGCCCTGGCGGACCTGGTGCGCGAGGCCCCCGGCCGCTCCATGCGAGTGGCCACGGGTCTGTACGAGGCCTACGAGGCGGAGCGGCGCGCCAAGCTGCAGCAGTGCCGGGCCGAGCGCGAGCGCATCGTGCGCGAGGAGAAGCGGCGCCTCTTCACGCCGCTGGGCCCCGCAGCCGCCGCGGCCCCGGCCCCCAGCGCGGGCAGCAGCAGCAGCTGCAGCAGCGCCAGTCTGCCGGCCTCGCCCGCGCCGCGTGCCGCCCGCAAGGCCTCCTCCAGTCCTTCTCCGGCCCGGACCCAACCTCCGCCCGCGGCTTCGCGGGCGGGTAGGAAGAGCCATTCGCTAGACTCGCTGTCCCGCCGGCGCGAGGGCGCCCTCAGCTCCGAGTCCGGCGCGTCATCGTCGTCCTACAGCGGGGAGAGCCTGCGGGAGCTGCGCTGGCCGCCGCGGGCCCCGGCCAGGAACAGCTGCCCGGCGGGGTCCGCGTCCTCCGCCCTCAACCCTCTGGGCCGCCCGTCCGCCCTGGCCCTGGTTCCGCTCACCGGCCGCAGCTTCAGCCTCGGAGACCTGAGCCACTCGCCGCAGACGGCTCAGCACGTGGAGCGCATCGTGCGCCAAGTACGCGCCGAGCGGGGCCTGCGCGGGGTGCCCGAGCGCGACCGCAAGATCGCGGCGCTGATGCTGGCGCGGCACCAGGAGGAGCGCCTGTTGCTGGAGCAGCGCGCCGCAGCCCACGGCCAGTGGGAGCAGCAGCGTGTGCGCGCCGAACAGCGGCGGGAGCGCGAGGAGCGCGAGAAGCAGCGCGCCCTGGAGCAGGGCCGCCGGGCCTGGGCCGCGCAGGTGGAGGAGCGGCGCGGCCGCCGGGGCCGCGAGGAGCGCGAGGCGGCGCGGCGGCGGCAGCGGCAGTGCGAGCGCAGCGAGGAGCGGCGGCGGGAGCTGGCCGAGCGCCAGGGCCTGCTGCGGCGCGAGCGGGCGGAGCGCGCGGCCCGGGAGGACCGGCTGCGCAAGTTGCAGCAGGAGCAGAACCTGAAGCAGCGGGAGGAGGGCCTGCAGGAAGGGCGGGAGCGCGCGGAGCAGGTCCGCAGGGAGCGCGCCCAGCGCGCAGCCCGCGCCAAGCAGCGGCAGGAGGGCCAGCTACAGCGGGAGAAGCGGGAGCTGAGCCGGGCCGAGCGGGCGCGCCACGAGGCGCTGCTGCAAGGCCGGGCCCGGCAGGAGCACGAGGAGCGAGAGGGCCTGCGGAGCTCCCTGGAGGCCAGTTTGGGCCGCGCGCAGGAGAACTACGAGCAGTTGGTGGAGCAGCGCACCCGGGAGCTGCGCGAGCGGGCCCGGCGGGAGGAGCTGCAGGGCCGGCGGGCCAAGGAGGCTGCCGAGCGCAAAGAGCGGGAGCATCAGGCACACCTGGAGGCGCTAGCCCGGGCAGGGGAGCGGCGGCTGCAGCACGCGGCGCAGGCGGCCGAGGAGGCGGTGCAGCAGAAGGCACGGCGCGTGGGCCAGAGCCGGTTGGAGAAGGAGCGGACCCAGCGCGCCAACAAGGAGAAGGTGGAGAGGGACGAAGACTGCCGCCGGCAGGAGCTGCTCCAAGCCATCGGGCGCAAGCTGGAGCGCAGCGAGCAGCTGTCGCGGGAGCGACGTAGCGCGCTGGAGAGCGCACGCTCCACAGCCCGGGCCTCTTTCCACGTGCGTGAGAAGGTGCGAGAGGAGACCAACACGCGCTCCTTCGACCGCATGGTGCGCGAGGCCCAGCTGCACGCCAGCCTGGACCGCAAATGACCGCAGCCCTGCGCTGGCCAGACAGCCACGCTCAGCCCGGGCGCGTCCCTTGGCCACTTTGCCCAGACTGTGGGAGTCCCCCGGCCCAGCACCGTGGCCCGCCAGGCTTCTAACCAATGAGGCGTTGAAAGGATGGATGTGCCAGACCTGTCAGTCCGCCGCCTTTGTTTTTAAAAACTGACTTTGTAGAAGACGTAGCACAATCTGACCACATCCCCCCTTGGTGGCTCTCGCACTGGCCCTTACCAAGCTCCCCTCTGTGTCTTTTGGGTTGGAATAGAAAAGAGCTGGGAGAAAGGGGCTGGGTCGGGAGTGGGGGGAGGGCCCCCGGAGGCTAGAGAGTGCAGCGGTGATTGTCCCCTTCTGCAACGGTCACCCCAGTCGCCTTTCCCACCTTGGTGTCTCCGACTGTGGTCACTGCAGCTAAGGAGGCATATCCCCGGCTTGCCTCGGGCTCTTAAAATAGGGCAAGTTGCACAAGGCTTGGAGGGCTTGCAGAAAAGTACAACCCTCCCAAGGTGTTAGGCCACAAGTGACCCGAAAAGCTGTTGATCTTTGTGCGGTTGACTTTTAGTCTGCCACGTGAACAAATTCTTGTCTTAGTTCTGGTAGTTTTTCGTTCGTTCCTAGGTGTTCTAGTTAGACAATCATACGCAAATACTGATCAATTTGTATTTTTTTCTCCCTCCTTATTCTCCCAAGTGACCCAAGAAACCGGTGGGTTTGGTGGTGCTGTTTAGCTTTAGTGGAAGGCCCCAGCCCGGGGGGAGGTGGGTCCCTGAGGCAGCAGTGTTCCACCGGGTCACACTTTCTTACAGGGTAGTTTCAGGGGCAGTGGTGTCTGACACCCACCTTCCGGTGTGGAGCCCACTCCTCGCAGGCAGCAGCCATGCCTTAAGAAGCAGAGCTACCTGATGTGCCTGCCCGGGCCAAGCCTGCCTAGTTATCCACCCTGGATGCCGTCCTGAGGGTGGGCCCCAGAGAGTTTGGAGTGCAGGATTCCCTCTGTGAAGGAATCGTCACCACCGCTCCCGGGGCCATTTCCTGTGGTGGCTCAAGAGCTGGAATGGCCTCTTTGCTGTTGAGAGTTGTGCTCGTTATTGTTGGTAGTGTGGCTTCTCCTCCTCCCCTCCCCCATGTGACGAAAAAGGGAGTCTCCCCCTTAAATGCCTGGTTCCCTCTCACCGATGACTGAAAGGATTTAATTGGTCTCTCCATGCCTCACCTTCCCCGTTAGCCAGATGGGGCCATCAGTACTCTTCTGGTACCTTGAGGTCTCCTGGATCCAAAGCACCACCTCAGTATTATTTGCTGGTCTTCTTTGTGCCTTTCTTGACCTGGAGTTGGGAGGCAGGAGGGCTGCTGTTGGCCTAGGCTATTTCTGGGAATAAGGATTCTTAGCATTGGAAGTGTCGGTGCTTCATGAACAGATGGTCATTTAGCCTCTAGGGGGAAAGACTTACAAGGCCAGGTCACTCCCTGGTCCCAAAAGTCCTGTTCGGTTGTCTTCAGGCAACTTTAGCCCTTAGAGTGCTCCCCTTCCGTGAAGCCAAAATCAGCCCCCAGCCATATCCACCCAGTGACTCTGCCTTCAGCAGGGAAGGTGGAAGTAAGACATTACTTTTTACATTAAACCAGGATCAGGAAATAAAGGTTACCAAAAAAAAAAAAAAGAGAATCAGGGTAGACAACTACTATACGAGATGTATTTCATGTATATTCTGCTGGGCAGAATTGTTCCTAAAATGTTTGGTAATACACACACATCCACTCCATCAGCACCCCTGCTCCCCAATCACATGCCAGCAGGTACAAGCATAGCGTGTAGAAGGAAACAGTGCTTAGGTGTCACACTGCAGAGGTTGCAAAACCGGGAAGGAGCTGTGCCAGGGTTTGTTTCTTGAATGGGTGAATTTTTCCCTGGTCAGTAACCAGGTTGTCAGTGATCTGTAGTAATTGTCATTGTCTGTGAGTCAGGGGCATTTCACTGAAAAGTTAATGTGGTCCTGGTTCTTATCTTGTGGTTCCTGATTTGCTACAGGGCTTTTGAAGCCTGAATAGAAAGTTCTGCCTAAAACTACTGACCTCCAAAGTATATGCATTCATTTGAGAGGGACACAATCTGGCGTTTTGGATAAGGTGCTGTAGGTACATAGGTGACCTTCCCTGGTTCTCTGTTCGGTTTGTTTTCTGACTTCCTGAGTGACTTTGGGTGGATCACCTCTCTGGACCTTGGTTTCCGCCCCCTGTAGAAAGGCGATCGTGGTCTCCGCCCTCCCTCTCACACCAACAGTGTGAGGATGAGTCAGAATCAAAGTGGTGCTCCCAGTTCCCTGACTTTGGAACTGCTGGTGCAATCGGTATAAACAGAAAGGACCCTGTGACTGTACTGTCTAGAGAGTGTAACGTACTGTCGTGACCTAGTGCAGAAAGGAATGCCCTTGAAAAGCACATTGCAGATCATAGGGTCAGATGTGATGCAAAGATTCAAGTCTGAACGTCACCAAATTAGAGGTTTTCGCTTAGAGAACAGCACTATGTAAAGTCAAAAACTTTTGGATTCTTTAAAAAATCCATGTAGCTAAGTGGAATTGAAACAAAAACAGAAGCGAAACCTGGTAAAGACTGGTTCCTCCAAATTTCAGATCATCCTCTAGAATATAGACCCATCTCTAAGTTCTAGGATAATTGGTCATGTTGCTTTTTGAGGAGGAGCAATTTCTAGAATCCTTTGTTGGCCCTTTTATTTATATTCTTCTCTTTGAAGTGATGCCAGAGAGGAAGTGTTTCTCATTCCGAAATGCAGCAAGAGAAAATTAGAGGGGTGGGGGCAGTGGGGATCACAGATGGAGAAAGGCTTGCTTCTCCTGATGTGAACATTCTCACAAGTACCTGGAATCTGCGCACCAGGCTGGAAGTTTTCTTACCGTCCAGGAGATTGCAGTCTTGAAATGGCCACAGGCATTCACGTTTGCCCTCTTGGAACCTGCTCTTGCTCAGAGAAGGGAGAAGGTGAAGTGGGGTGAGGAGGCATGGGAAGCGTTGGAAGAACTTTAGTTTGATTCATTACCAAGGAAACAAGCAGAACAAAACCGTTTCAGGGGGAATCGTCGGTGAAGCTAGCCCCGTGTCCTGCTCAGGCCATGACCAATGCCTACAGCACACCTGAACTGGAAGATGGAAGTTTCCTTTTGGAAGCACACAAACTGAGTCTTCAGTGGGAGCAGTAAGCAGGATTCGCCAAAGGTGAAGAGTCTGTGAGGTCGTGAAGGCGTATGTGAATGCAGTTTGTGTTCGGGCCATTCTGTGAAGCTCACCTCTTATCGTTCCTTCTCCTTCAAAAAGTCCATGGAAACAGAGGGGTGACCAACTCTACATAAGGGGCTCTATCTTTTTTACCATTGAATCCTCGGTAGTCCATGATTTAGCCCCTGCCATATGGTAAGCACATGAATACTGAATGGAGAAAGGGGTAGACGACGGATGGATGATGGACAAGTGAATGGTAACCAGAGGGAATCTGTATAGAATAGATCGGGTGGGCAGGCCTTGATTCATTTGACAAATTTGTATTGAGTGTCTGCTCTGTGCCAGGCACTGCTCTTGGTCCTGGGAAGACGGAGTCTCTCTGATCATTGACCCTGGGGACCAGTTATGCTGCAATGTCATGAGCAGATGCCTTTATTTCCCCACTGGGCTTAACTACCTTCCCACGCTGGTTTCCATGCACATGCAGACCTGATGGTCCTTCAAGCACAAACTTCAAGACTTTTCAGGTTCCTGGGCACACGCCATCCTCCAACCAACCATCATCTAATCATGTTGTTCTCTTTCCCTTGGAGGAGTCTTGACTAATCAGGTCAAACTCATAAGGTCATGTACTTAATCAGCTTTAAATTACAGTAAAAAGAGAGAGAGAGAGATTAATTACCTCCAAGGGCATTATTTGTCCTGCCTTTAATGGATGCAGCGTCAATAATGATTGTTGACCTAGAGAACTGAGCCTCAGGCTGTGCAGAGTCCCAGATCACCAAAACAGGGTACCCACTCCATCATTTGACTGTTCTTGCTGAGACAAGAAACTCATTTCTGAAGCATTCCCAGTTTTAAAGCCCCAACAAAAAGAGATTTGTGATCGATCCTAACTCGATGAGAAAGTTTAGTGAATCAGAATATCCCACTTCTTAAGACATCCAGGTGGTGGAGGTCACCCACAGGTGGCTATGTGGACTTGCCTTTTCTCCACCGTATGACTCCATCTCCACCCTGCACATCCCAGAGAGACGTTCGGCAGAGGAGCATAAGGAAAGCTGGCATTTCTTGACACATCTGGAAAGGGACTTTCAGGAACCTGGCAGATAACTCTCAGTTCTGGAAATGTTGTTCAGGCCTTATATGTGACACTTTGGCTTTGGGTGTCTGAGGCAGAACCTGCAGTATTACTCCTGATCACATGCTTTAGTTACATGACTCTGGACAAAAGAGCGCTTCGTCTGCTCACATATGTGCTCTGCTCCATGGATTTCTGGTGCTCTCTCTACATGCGCCTCCTCACAGCCCCGTGCAGACCCCCACACGCCCCAGCCCTTCATACTGTCTCTGCTGCCACTTGGGCTTCACCTAGGTTAGGGCTGGGACAGAGGGTGGAGTTGGTAGGGTATAGAAGGGGAGGGTGGTTTTTCTCAGAGGAACACTGGTCTTCACTGTTTGCAGTATTGTTACTTCCTGATTCATGAAACACTGTCATGTCCTACGTGAGCACAAAAACCTAGTCCAAAGTGATTTTGAAGTCTTCCTGCCTGTCTTCCTCTCCACCAGTATAGTACTGACGGCATGTTTTTGTGTCAGATGCTTGCACAATTCACGGGATTGTCAAAAAGATGATCCAGATCTACTCCTTCTTTGAGTGTGCATGTGCATACACAAACACACGTACACATACGTGCACACACACACACGCTCCTACTGATCCCAGCATCAGCATTCTAACAGAGGGAAGGAAACTAGCCATCTGATTCTTCCAGGGAAGGATAAGTGCTGGGAAAATTGAGCTGCCCCTTGGTGGGGGTCCATTGATTGCACCTACCTCCAGCCCCAAGTCTGCTCCAGGCTCTGGCCTGTAAGTGTGGTGTCCATGTTTCCCAAATCCGTCATTGAGCCACGTGGATGACAGAGGGTTTTCATGCTGCCACTACATTTCTCCTTCTGCCTACGTAGTGTGAGAGACTGACTGGGAAATGGAATTTGGATGCCAAAATGTTGACATTCGGAACATTTCAGTGTGACAGAATGACTGATATCTACAAAGTTTTGAAAATCAAGTCCATGTGGTTAGGCTTCAAGGCAAAGCATTTGGCAAAGGAGCAAGCGTCTTGACTTATTCAAACTATTACCTACTGTTCCACACGCCCCTCTTGCCATCTGTAAAATGGGGACAGTAAATCCTACTTGGTGGGGACTTGTGAAATGAGTTACTGCTTGGGCAGCAGCGCAGTCCCTGGCACATAGCACTCAATTTGTGGATACTGTGATTCTGAACTTGGGAGGGTGGTAAAGGAAGGGATGGGGTAGTTGGACTTCAGCCAGGTGGTCCTAGTGGACCAGGCTTGGATGGCAGCCCTTTGCGGTTGTGCGTGTCCCTTGCTGTGTGGCAATCCCCCAGCCATTCCAAGGAAGGGGCCCTGGAATTATGGTTCTCCAGGAATGTGAAATTGTCTAGGTTTGGGGGAGGGGAAGGGATTACCTTGTTCACCAAATGTTTGGCAATAAAATTGACACCTGATATCATCTTTGAAATTTTAAGACTTCCTAAATGATAACTAAAATGACAGAATGCTTTAAAATTTGTACATATTTCTTGGGGAAAAGAGAGTGTGTTTCTGTCCTGGTGAGACTTAAGTTCTACAGTAGCATCTTTAGCAGAGAACCAAGTGGGCGAGGTTGTGGGAGAAGCACTGTCCTGGGGTGCTGCGGTACTGCACCACGTGGCGCCTGGCAGGAATTCTGGGCCGGGCAGCCGTCTCTGCTCTGGCCACATGGGAGTGAGGAAGAAGGCCTGGGATAAGCCCAATCTGGGGGAGTGCTGATGGGCTCCCTGTAGGAACAGATTGGAGCAGGAAGGAGAGAGGAGGGTGTGCATTAGCATTGCTTCATCCTCAACAGATGGCTTTCTCTGAGAAGGCTCAGAAAATGCCCCGATCTCCTTTCCTGCCTCCCTGGCCCTGCAGACAGCTGCACAGAGGTTAGCTGCAGGACTAGATTTAGAGAAGTCTATACCCCACTCTGGGCATGTATCAATGCAGAGGTGCTGAGCAGGCCAACTGGCTGTGCTGGCTCCCACTCTGCACCAGGAAGTGGGGATGAAGAGGGTGGCAAGCTGCTGAGAGTTCTCCTGCCTTGTCACCTTTCTTCTGCCCTTGGATATCCTACAGGGAGGCCCCAGGGGACCTTGGAGGCCTCCTGAGCCCTCAGAAAAATAGTAGAGCAGGGAGTGTGCCTCCCAGGAACATCTGCTTGGTTGAAGAGAACCAGCAGGGTGAGCAAAATCCATGGGCAAAGGCAACATTTGCTACTGCTGAGACTGCAGGAGAAGTGACAGCTGATGCTTGCTAAGCCCTTACACGGTGCAGCCGCCTATCTGAAGCACTTAATCCTCACAAGATCTCCATGAGGCAGGTACAGCTATCATTCCCATTTTACAGGTGATAAAATTGAGGCACTGGATTTAAGTGACTTGCCCAAGGTCACACAGCTAATGTTGGGCAGAACTGGGCTTGGACTCAGTCAGTCTGGCTGTATAGCAAATGCTGGTAACTAGTATGTTGTCGCTTCTTGAGAATCAGTGGGAAAGATATTCTTTGACAAAAGGGCCCCTCTGGAGTCTTCCAGTGCCAGCCATTTGAATCACTACCCTCTACACCCTTGTGTAAGCCCTGCGGGGAGAAAGCTCAGAACTCGTCTGGACTGGGTGGGTCCTGCGGGCACTCGGGGTGAACTTGAGGCTCACTGCCCAGAGAAAAGATGAGGGACTCTTGTCCTAACCCTAAAGCTTACCCCAGCTGGGATGGTGCATGGCCTGGAGGTTCTCCAAGGGTAGTCCTGGGCCAGCAGGATCGGCATCAGACATTCTGGGGATGGGACCCTGTGATCTGTGTTTTTTTGTTTGTTTGTTTGTTTTTTGCTTTATCTCCCCAAATCCCCCCTGGAACATAGTTGTATATCCTAGTTGCTGGTCCTTCTAGTTGTGGCATGTGGGACGCTGCCTCAACATGCCCTGATGAGTGGTGCCATGTCCGCACCCAGGATCCGAACCAGCGAAACCCTGGGCCGCTGCAGCGGAGCGCGCGAACCTAACCGCTGGGCCACGGGGCGGGCCCCCTGATCTGTGTTTTTAACGAGCCCTCCAGGTGGTTCTGATGTGGCTTCAGTTTGAGAACCACTGCTCTAGAATTGTGCTTTCCACTTCAGCAGTCCCTAACCACATATGCCAATTTAAATTTAAACCAGTCAAATTTAAGTAAAACTAAAAATTCGGCTCCTCGTTTACACTAGCCACATTTCAAGTGTTCAACAGCCCCATGCAGCTGGTGGCCACCGTTTTGGACAGCTCAGATACAGAACATGTCCATCGTCACAGAAAGTTCCGTTGGGCAGCGCTGCTCTGGAACCTTGCTTCGCCAGCATGTGGTCCACAGACCAGCAGCACTGGCATCACCTGGGGGGTGGTTAGAAATGAAGAACTCAGGCCCCGCCCCCCCAGACCTTTTGATTCAGAGTCTGCTTTTTGCAAGGTCCCCAAGTGATTTGTGCTGCTCTTTAAAGTTTGAGAACCACTGCTCTAGAAGGCAGGCCCAAGTCAAGTTCATGTTGCGTGTGGTTAACACCCATTGGTAGATTCTCCCTACTGCCTTGCCTCCTTGTTCCTTGGCAATTCTTTCCTTGCTGGCAAATATGTGTCATTTGGGGCTAGGCTTGCAATTCCTAGGCCACTAGATCATGACATTTCAGAGCTCAAAGGGAAGTTAGACACCATCCATCCCTCTATCCATTTGAATCATATGAATAAGTCCCTTACCCTCACCAAAAACTAAGCTGGAGTTTCCCCCTCTCGACACTCACTCATTCTGATCTTATTGGGGTGGTTGCAGGTGTCAAGGACTTGGCTTCCCAACTCCCCCTAAGTATGTCGTTTTCTGGAAGACTACATCCTGTCGAAGGCAGGGAGAAAAAAGCTACCCATTAGAGCAGTTTAACAAAAATCTCCCCTTGCCCTCTCCATCTCCGGGCTGTCAGCTGCCTGTTTTGTTTTCTGGGTGTTGCCTGTGCTCAGTAATCCCAGTTATAACTGGCTACTCCTTCCTCATACATAGGTAAGTGCTTGTTTTCATTATCATGTGAAGCCAGGGGTTGAATGAGAAAGCCTGGTGGTTCACCTGTTTCCTTCCCACAAAAGGGGGTCCGCTGGGGTGGACTTAACCCCACCGGATACACATATGTCCTTTACCAGACTAGCCATTCCGGCTTCTTGCCTGAGATTCACAACAGAAGGCTCTTAAGAGTGAAGCAGTTTAATTGCTTAGTATGGCCCTGCCGAAAGCTCTGGCTTTCCATTTCATAGTGTGTCTCTGTTGCCGTAGGCAGGTCAAGAGTTCTGCCTGGGCTCTCACTTCCACTAAAAGAAGTGGAGACAAATGACAGAGAGGGACGGAAGTGAGCTTCTTTGGGAAGGGAAAGGGTTGATTTATGAAGGGTTATTAAAATAAGTAAAAGCGCCATTATGTTCAAGAAAGAAGAAAATGCAGTGACGGCATAGAAATAAAGGAAGGGAATAAGGAGAGAGAAAGGCTGGGGGATACTAGGCTGAAACTATAGACAGAAAAATTCAGGCAGGATATATATCTTGTGAGTCTGAGCACAGCTACATTAAGTCAATGCTCAACAGAGGAATAAGAGGCCCCTCACCGGAGCCATCTTAAGGCAGCTGAAGCAAGATGCAGGGAGGAGAAAGGAGAGAGCAGCCTTCTTAGAAACTGATAGTTGCTATTAAGGTCCTTACTCAAAATATGTTCATAGTCTCTAGATGTCAGATCTACATAGACAAGGGTAGGCAAGTTGACTTGAAGGGGCTTTCCAAAAGTCGCCAAAACTCCCAGCAAAAAGAATGTACAAGTAACGAAAACATAAAGAGTTTCTTATGCTCACGATTAAACCAGTTAACGAATCCTTGGAATCCACTGGAAGGTACTTTGAGATATCTCTTCTTTCTGTGGGCACTAGAATGGATCTAGTTTCTACCTCAAGCAGCAGAAAAAGTGTACAAAGCTGAGGGGAAAGGCAGCAGGCTTTGTAACTCTGAGCGCGCGACTAGTAGCAGGTACGTCATTGGGAAGGTGAAGACTTGAAATGTACAAGAGTGCTAGAATTTAAAATGGTTTAGAAGGTAATGGATTCCGTTTATTGGGCAAGAGAAAATCTGTTACTGGTTTTCTTTACTGTTATCATCTAATCCTGAAGTAAGGTGCCAGATTGCACTGAAGCTTTCAATGAGGCTGAACGATATGGAATTGTTGATACTCAACTGTTTTTTGACCTACAAAGCAGCAGACAACAGGGTGACCGGTGCCCTAAATGGGCTGTCTGAAGCCCCTGAAGGAACTGGGGGTGGGGCTAGGAGGGAGGTGCCCAGATGGCTGAGCATCCAAGTCTCATGAGGAAGGAGATGTCCTTTAAGGAGCTGGCACAGACAGGTCAAGGGCAGCCTGCCGGTGTGTGCGGGCAAAGGGCAGCTTTTCTGACTGCATAAAGCATAAATTTGTGTGGGTGCTTCTAAATGGGAGCCCACTTGGCCTTCCCCCATAGATTGGGCTGCATGGCAGTTCATTTCCGTAGAATCTGCAAACTTTTCTGCAGAGGCTGTGGCCCTCTGTCTGATGCACACTCCCGGGAGTCCTGCAGCGAGCAAGTTGATCAGCACACTGCTGCCTGCCCAGAATACCAAACAGCAGACGGCAGTGCAGGCTCCCGTCCCTCTGCCGCAGCCAGCTACCCGGGCACCAGCTCTGCCCTCCAAGAGCCCTTTCTCTCCCTCCACTGTGGCTTTTGTACAAACCCACTTGTTTCCAGGTGGCAGAAATACACCCGCAATCCAACAATATGTTCCTAAAACCTTCTCCATGACAACCCAGGGCCATGAGCAGGCTGCCAGCTCCAAGCTAGCCAGAGAACGGCTCTAGGGGCAGACGGCATAGAGACAGAGCACAAGGCAGCTGGGGATGCCAAAATTCTGCTTTGCTGTAAGGCAGTTTGGGGGCTAACGCCCCAAATTCTGGGGAAGCCATAAGCACGTGTCCGCAGGTGCCCAACCAACTGTGACCATTCTTGAACCCTGACTTCAGCACAGAAGCCAAATAGTCCAGCGCAGCTTGGACTTCCTTTTTTTGTAAGATCTTTTGCAGCTGAACAAGAGGACAGGCATCGTGAGAATCCAGCAAAGAAGGACCTGGGTTTCTATATGGGCTGCTGGTGCTTTGTGATTGGACAAATTCTTTCTAAATCTCAAGCGCTGTCCAGATGGTGTGTCTCACTGATGTCACCTCCCCCTACCCGCCCATATCACCCTCAGCCCCAGCTGTTCTCACTGTGGCCAGAGCCTAAGACCCAGGGCCTCTACTTTCCTCGCTAATATTTAATGACAATGTGAACCTTGGGGCAGAATGACGGGCACAGCGGAGGTGGCTGCTGGAGACCCAGCATCCACAGAGAAGCCTCCTAGGAGAAAGCTGGTTGTT